TAACTATTTTCGTTTGTCCGAGATAACTCTGGATAGTAAACTAATATTAAAAATAAATGCTTTTACACCTTCAAAAAAATAAAAATTTAACTTAAAACCTACATATTTTGATTTGTTTTGTTTTGTTGTATTTAATAATAAAATAAAAAAATTTGATGATTTTTTGCAATTTTTTTCAAAAAAATTTGTCAGGGAAGCGGTTAATAGATGGCGACATGAGCAAGCAACTACCAAGATTTCATGAACCACATGATCTTCACATCCTTATGTTTTTTCAGTTTACAGTTCAGCTGAAATGTAAAATTCTTGCATATTAACTTTTTGCTGCTCTAGAAGTCTTAACCTTAAGCTACCAAGAACCTAAGTTTTACTAGTTCAATTAATTGTTACATGTGTATGTATAAATTTCATTTTAAACACATTCTCTTGATTTGAACATTTTAATAATAATTATGTTAAAAATTGGCTTTCAAATTTCGTTTGATTTTTAGTCTGATATTACAAATAGTCTCCACTCTCAAAATAAAAAGATAAAGGATTTGTAAAATTACATATGTTTTTTCAGCTGATATTAGCTGATATAGGTTGGACAGTAATATGTGAATTACATCAGTAAGCCAATAAAATCAACTCGTATGCAGTAATGTATATTTTAATGTGCGAGCTGCCAAATCCTTTGCCCCTGAAAAATTGCTAGAGTTCATTAAATTGTATTTAGTATGTTATGGAAGCTCTCTGCAGTGAATTAGTATTATCAAAAATATAACTATTTTAATCACCCATGTTTTAATCTCTTGATATCTTTATTTTTTTAAGTAGAGCAATACCTGTATTATTACTTTTAATAAGCTTTCCACCTCAACAGATTTATTCACTAAGTTTCTAATCCTTTAGCTCTTCACAGCTTCTTAATTTTTATCAATGCAATTAATCATCGATTATTAATTAGTGAAAATAAAATTATGGATTTAAATTTTAAACAATGATAATAAGATAGTTGTTCAACATTAGGAGGAGGATGTCATAGAAGCAAACACTTTTGTTCCTTATGTCGTGAGCAAAAATTCTTACTTTTCACACCTGACTGCAACAGGCTCTGACATAGAATGTATACGCAACATCTGCAAATTAAAATACCATTCCAGATTTTTTGGAAGCATTTATTAGAATTCTATTCACATTTATATTTGCAAAATATACATAACCACAATAATATAGAATTGCACTTATCTGAATGCCAAGAATAAGTCCAGCGTATTTTCAAAATTTGAGAAAACTTTTGTGATTTAAATACTGCAAACTTATTTCTAAAATGCAGCAAATTTAGAAGTATCCTTAATATCCACAGCAGATTTCATTCATTCATTTCATTTTATAGACAAGGTTCCATGTTTCAAATAAAAAGATGGGTTGCTAACATGGATGGGATATCCTCAAAATTTGGATAATTCCAGTTTAGTATTTATGGCTGTTAAACCACCCTCAAGCTGAATTACTTCATCAGTAAGTATTTTGCTCATAAATATTACTCTCTATGAGGATTTTATTTCCAGGTGACCCTTATGAGCAGCTGAGATCCAAATTCTGTGTCTTTTTAATCCTTCAATAACAGACCTTTAGGAGTGTGTTGTATCCCTTCACAAATTGTACCTTGATCCTGAAAACTAAACTGGTCCACTTTGCTTTTCCCAACTGTGCTTAGAATATCGCTTGTGATTTTTTGATCGAGTCCTTGCTCCTCCAAATAGTGCATGAATTAAATTCTCAGAGGAAGTGCTTTTCAGATTTAGAGCTTCAACTGTGGATTGTAAAACATAAGATCTTTGGGATCCACAATCCAAGAGGCACCTGACCACCTTATTTACATAGTTGGCGACTACTTCAACCATTAAAGTCATAAGCGTCACTTCATTCATACATAGGGGAGAGGACATTGTACTTTGTACTGTTACTGACTCTTTTCACTTTGGCTTATTCTTAACATTATTCTCTGATACCTGGGGACATAATATTATAGCACTGAATAAACCTTTGACACTGCTTTTGGCAAATGCCCTCATCTAAGACAGCAAAGGCAGCATTTTAGTTCTATTAATTTGCCTAATCTTCCTTTAAGCACATTGATCGAGCTGTAAAACATTCTTTGCTTTTGTGAGATTTTCCCTCAAAAACACGTTTTTGTTCCTTGACAGCAACTAGACTTGCTGCACTCGCTATTGGTTTTTTTGGCCTTATATTTTACATGTTTAGAATGTTCATCATGCAAAGGAGAAGAAATTTGAAATCCAAACGTTGTCAGTTTAACTCTCTGCTCTCCTTCGACCTCTGTATAGAAAAATTCCAGGATATTTGAAAGACGTGATCTCTTGTTACTGAATAGAATGCTTCTCTGCCATACTCAAAGCATATCAGCTGACAGACAAGACTCAACTATGGGATGTAACTAGGGCGCATTAGTATCTAGGGCTAAACCTAAAAACTCTAGAGAACCAAGGTTATCAGGTTCTGTGTTCCTCCTTAATTGCTTTGGGAACATTAAATGTCCTGATTCGGAACAGGGAGCTTACTAAAGCTATGTTCAATAAATTTGGGAAGTAGACAATACACACAGGAAGGGTATATGAAACCCTTTATTTTTCTCTCTTTACAATGATTTCCGGACTTCGGAATACAGAGACCAACCACTTGTGGTCTGAACGTAAGAATATAAAATTATTAACTAAACTCTAACTAAACTTAACTTTGGATTAATCAAACAAGTGCCTACTCCAAGAATGGTCGTATATTAGCAAAAAGCCGTATGTAGTACAGAGAACTGCTAACACTACGATACGTTTAAAATTATCAAGAGGATTAAACCTCTGGCCTTGAAGGCAACCAGCAACCGAGTAAAACTACTATGGCAAACGGCCTGCTTCTAATAGCTCCTTCCTCTCTCTTGCTTGGCAAAAAGCCACAACTTAAGTACTTGGTGTTCGCAAGACAAATTTGCATAAATAAGTTAAAGCTTTTAATTCTGGCCGGAAGTAGAAAATAAGAAGTGATAGTAAAGATTTAAAATAAAATAAACGTTAGTAAAACTTCAGATCCTTACAAGGTGGACTCGATTTTGTCATACAGTTATACTAGCGGCAACTGATCCTTCCATTGTAAGCGTACGTTTTGTATAATAATTTTAGCAATTCCCTCAGATAAATCTCAGTTAAAATTTCCTTGTTTCCTAAATGCTCCTTAAATGTAGAAATTGCTTTTGGGTAATTTTCAGCCATTAAAATGTAACTATCTATCAACTTACTAGCTCAAGTTTCGAGTAACATTGATTGAGCTAAATAATGGAATTTGTCAACATCAAGTTCCCTATCCTCATTGATTTTCTTAAGTTGACCCCAAAATGTAAGGTAACTTAATAATTGCCCATTGAATTTTTTAATTTGATTTTTTGTCAACTTGTACCATTTTTCATTAGAAGCTCTTATGCTGTTAATCCATGTTAGAACTCGGATTGACACTAAGTCATCTGCATTATCTGTACTCTCTTTCACCCAACGGTTAAGAGTGATAAATTCATCTAGATATTCCTTGGAGCTTATAACTTTGGTTTCTAGATCATCTTTAGCAGCTTTACCTTTAATCAATGAATCTAGTATCTGTGAATCATGGGATTTTAACTCAGCAATTGTCATTTGTAACTTCACAGTTTATCTTTTAACACAGCTTTATCCACTTGATCACCTTTATTGAGTTTGTTCCTTAGAACCTTAACCATTATAGTAAAAGCACTCTATGGCTTTTCTTTAGCATATGAACATCCATTTTTGCCATTAAATGCAGACCCACGTAAAACTCAAAATCTGTAATTTTATCAGCATTCCTAACAACTTTATTGAGCAATTCCAAAAATATAACTCAATGTAATGAAAATAAAAATAGGTCACAACATTCATAATACAGCAAAACAAAATTATTTCGAATATCACTGTAGGCAATTTAATGCATAACTTTTCCATTGAAAATTTAAACTAATTTTCTATTTATATATTAATACAATGCAGCATATACAATTCTTTCTCTGCAATATATAAATATAATGAATAATCCTGACTGGCTGACTATTTTTTTATGTCATGAGCAAAAATTGTTACTTTTCACAGGTGACTGCAACAGGCTCTGACATGAAATGTATACTCAACATGTACAAATTAAAATCCCATTCCAGATTTTTTGGATGCATTTAATAGAATTCTATTCACATTTATATTTGCAAATTATATATAACCACAATAACTGAAAAAATGACTTATCTGAACATCGAGAACAAGTCCAGCATGTACTTTCTAAACTTGATAAAAGTTTTGTAATTTAAATACCACGAACTTAAACATAAGAGTTCTCATTTTCTAAAATGCAATAATTTGAGAAATATCCCTAATATGTGCAGTAGATTTCATTTCATCCAAACTAGAATTCAATCTCTTAACGCAATAGAATTGCTAAAGGAATTGGTTGCATTAAAAACAAAATGTATGGTATATTCTCTGCTGTTGCCATTCAAGCGATTTAAACTTTTTTCTGCTACAGTTGTTGCCAGACTTATTCTTGAAAAATGTGAGAGGTACAATAACTTTTATTAACTCTCCTGTTGTTATGGGTTTGTCTCTAAATGTAAACTTTCCAAAAATGTTATGATTAAATCTTATTTTCTTGATTATAATTCCAAAATGACCTTTTAACTTTGCATACTTACTCATTTTCTTCCAATATACATCCAGCCTGAAATCTGATTGTGCAATATCTAGCAGGTATTTTCCATTGTAATGAATGAAAAAGCCATTCCTCTACAGAATTTTATGTCCCTAACCCTTGAGGAAGGTAAAGAAAAAACTTAAAACCTTTTCCTTAAATTATACATGTGCTGACAGCTGAGTTCTTTTGCCTATAAATTTTCAGTATGTGTGATATGGTTTGTATAAAAGTTTTAGGAATATTTCTGAAATTTTTAGGCTCTTCTACCATTTGCTGTCGTTGGTAGCACTGATTTTGTTCGAGTTGGTAATAAAGCAGTAAGAGGAAGGCAGTATCCATGGGGAACAGTAATTGGTAAGCAAACTACCTTTACATGAAAATTTTGATTGTTTTTCAGACAAGCAATTACTTTGTTAATGTAATTTTTTAGAGAAAAGTAGGCTGCATATTAATAAAATATTTGTATGAATTAAATTGCTAGTATGTTTTTGTATTCTAATTATTTGTAAGGTGTTTTGCGACAAATGTTAGATTAATTTTTTTTTTCAATGCAGTGACCACTGAGCAGCATGTTTATAGCTTTAAAAATATGTATAAATAAATAAAAAAACCCGCTAGTCTTCATCTACAGAAGTTGAGAACATCTCAAAAGATGTGCTTTTCACCATTCATCTGTTTAAATGAACAATTTGTTTTAAGAAATATGAGGATAATTTTATAGAATTTTTATACAATATTCTGATATAATTTACATTTTTTAAAAAATTATTGCTTAGTTTGAATTCTATTAAAATTCTTATAACTTCCAAGCATCATGAGTTATGTCCTGTTGCTGTTCTATTTATTTGTTGTAATTTACAGTCATTAGTCATTTTTCATTACATTTTATTTTCTTTTGTGTAAACTGCCATCTTTAGACTTGCACTTTTTGCGGAATATCTTTAATTAGGTTAGGAAAAGGAAATAAGGAAAAAGAATCGTCAAAGTTATTAATTCTATCTAAGCCAGAGAAATATTTGTGCTTAAGTAGCAAAATTATTATTATATACTAAAATTAAAATCGTCCAAAGTATTAAAAAAATTCTAAAGAAAAAGTTGAGAACCAGTAAGAAACAAAATTAAAACTTAAGAAATAGTCTAGGCCAAATGGCCTAAGCATTAAAACAGCCAGATTTAACTATTTTTGCTCTCAACTGGGATGGACAAATTTAGATTATATATAACCCAAACACATTGTGTTTCTGAATTTGGATATTAGTGTAAGAATGCTAGTTCAACATGAAGAAAGTTCTGAAAGCATAATGCCAAACAGATCTCAGCAAAGTCCTAGTATCCCTTTATGGAATTGGATCACTGTTTTGTATCATATTCAAGCAGTTTTCTTGGACTGCATATTGACATAGCAGCATCATTTCCCATCTGTTATAAGAGTGGAGTTGAGCTAGCACTAATGCACACATCAGAGCTCACGCTTAAAGTATGTCTTTTGCTTAAATTTGCATTTTGTATTTCCTGATAAGAAAAGTGTAGATTTTTTCACTAGCCCAGCATTCAGGTGGAACATTTTATGAAGTTATATGCCCTGTAGATGGTTGAAATTTCTTAAAGCATGCTCACAGCTATACATTTAATGTTTTTCTTTTATATTCTCTTAGTGATTATCATTTTTATTATTAAATACTAATTTCTGTAACTATTGCTATTCTGTTTATGCTAATTTCTGTAACTATTGATTTTTGATGTAAAAAGCAGTTACCAATAGGGTAATTTCACTGATGAATATATATTTTAAGGCTGTGGTTTCTTAATTATAAATAATCTTGTAGTTGAGAATGAAAACCATTGTGATTTTGTGAAGCTGCGTGAAATGCTAATCAGAACTAACATGGAGGACATGAGAGAACAGACTCACCAGAGGCATTATGAATTGTATAGAAGAATGCGTTTAGAGCAAATGGGTTTTTCTGATGTTGGAGCTGACAACAAGCCTATCAGTTTTCAAGAAACGTATGAACAAAAAAGACAGGAGCATCTTCAGGTAAATGAATGTCTATGCATAATCAATTGTTCAAATAATATTTTAAGGTTGAAAATTTGCTGCAGGTTTAAAGAAATTAGGAAGTTTTATGTTTTTCCATTTTAATGATAGCTCTGCAGTTGTGCTGTTAAAGAGTTAATCAATAATGATAACCTAGTGTAGTTTAACATTCATGTAAATTGTATGTTTCATTTACATTCACTATAACTGCAGCCAAGACATTAACATGCACTATTTCTGACAATCAGTCCTTCAAATCTTTGTAAGTTGCACTTTATGTTATTCATCTTTTTTATGTTTAGCAAAAGAAAGTTTACATTGATATCCCATCCAAAGTAAATTATCTTAATTGCATTGCTGTAATAAATTATGCTGTAAAACTAAAAGTTGTCAGGTGTTGCCTAAGGCCTGATAAACTCGTGTGTTGCATTGTAACATGTGATCTGTACTGCACTGGCAGAGAAAATTTAAAGAACTGTAGAGCTCACTAGAACTGTAGAAAGACTACAGAGTAATAGTCTTCTTGTCTTAAACTGTAGACAAACAAAGACAGAAGAATTGTGTAAATAGCTCTTTTATTTGAACACAAAGAAATAACAGTGACCCATCTTAAGTTTACACAAGCCAACACTTCTGGCTGAACTTAAATACGTAATGTTGAACTAATTCAAATGTACTAAATTATCCTAATCACTGACAGGGTAATTTAAAAGTGTAGGAAAGGCTGTGGTTTGTAGAAAGCTGGTGAAACAAGCCAAATGGCTAGAAAGTCTCCAGTGCCAGAAGAATAATTTCGCTAATGGTCACGGTACAGCATGGCCTGGAATAGGCAGAACATGCTTGCGTAACCTTCACTTAAACAGCACTTCTTTCTCCCTCAATCTGAATAAATGCTCGCTATCTCAATAACATTCTGGCATAAAAAGCATGGGTGAAAAGAGAGTGATAGAAAGGTAACTGAACTTAAAATTAACTATTAGTTAAAAATAAAGAGATAAAACCTCACAGAACAACTACAAAAACTTATGTAACTTAAATGATTTTGTAGCTAAGAACATGGAACTTCACAAGATCTTTATTTCATCATGCCTGATATATCTTCAAAATGCAGAACTGCATATTTCTGGAAAAAGTAAATTTAAATAAAAACATAAATGTGTACAAAGGGTGGTATAGGAAAATTAGTGTTATAACGTGTTAGAGGTACATCAGAAATATTAATAAAATGTTTAGTCATCCTGACAAAAATACAAGTTTTGCAGCAATTTTTCATGCTGTATATTATATTGTTCGTGTGTTCTAGGGTAATAAAGTGTGTTCACCAAGAATAATGGCTTGAAGCTCCTGGAGTGTGCTAATAGGGGGCAGCAGTGGGGCAAGTCAATGTCCTATTGTAACCCGGGGTTCGTACAGTCCTTAATAATCCTTAAAAGTCCTTAAATTTTTTGGAATCGATTTTTGGCCCTTAAAAGTCCTTAATTTTGGCCAAAATCAGTAGAAGGTCCTTAATTTTAATCATCTGAAATTTCTGTCTGTTTTTTCGACTGCCATTTTGAGTGTGAATTAGCATTTTGGAGGAATATTTTTGGAGATTCACTGATGTATATTTGTTATCTTTTGAATGGGTTCATGGGTGTTAATTTGTTTCTATTTTTAATAATATAAATGACGGGATACTCGAGTTTCTAATCAAGAAGGGAAGCATAAGCATTCCGAAATTCATTTTTTGTAATAAAGAGCTCTTAAACAATTTTCGCTTTTGGGAATGTGAATTCTTTTATTAAACGGTTCTAAATTTGGCGACTTGTAAACATTTTGGCGATTTTAAAACCAGTTTCTATAGAAAGCTTTTAATTCCGAAATCAGAATTTTTCAACGATTTTTTTTAAAAAAACATCATTACTTTGATAAATTTGGTAATATATTGGAATAATGGTAATATATTGGAATTATATATAAAAAATAACATTAAAATAAAACATTTTTATTTTCCGCTGTCATATTATAAAGTTTCATTTGGCAACTTATTATACAATATTTTGAATCTGAAAAATAAACAAGGTATAATGCTGTAAAGCACAATTTACGAAACAACTCTTAGCAAAAGCAAAATTAACTATGTAATTAATTAAAAATATCTTCTTTTTAATTTTTTCATAGTAAGCATTTTTTCCATGTAATTGTCTCAGAATATTCAAAATTCTCAGTATATGCATATATAGTTTTATCTATAAAAGTAATGTTACACTTTTTCCCTTCTTTTTTTTCCAAAATATTACTGGCTTTTTGCTGTTACAGAATTGGTTATTTTTCTTTAGTATTTTTGACATTGCAGCTTGGAAAATTTAGAAGGATTTGAAGGCAAGATTTATAGACCCATGGTTCTAGAAGATTCGAGAAATATGTGACAAAGTGAAAAATGTCTCCATGGTATCAACGCGTAATGGATGTATTTTACAGAATGTTTGCGATGAATTTCTTACTTTTTGGAGGACGTCTGGAAGAACAATGAAGACATGATATTTGAGTGTTTTACTCCTGATACTAGAATCTTTTTTTTTAACTTGTTTATCTTCCCTTTATTTTCTCTACTTTTCACTAGACACAAGCATGGAAAATATCAAAAATGCCTCTAATCGTATTACTTGGGCAGGCATTATAGAAAGGAATTTTTTTATTAATAAAGAAATTGAAAATTTACAATTTAAAAATCCATCTAATATGTTTAAATGCATCATACACAGAGCTGCTGTGCATCATACACATTTTCCCATTTGATGCAATTTCTGTGGATCCTAAATTCGACTGCATAGTGCCTTTCTAAATTCTGCTTCCAATGCAATTCTAAACGTTTTGCCATTTCTAGATTTTGTTGTTTGGTGTGTCACTAAATTCTAAAAATTCTGCCACATCAGCTCTGTAGCCGGCCTTTACCATATACAGTCAAAAGTCGTTAATCTGGACTCGTCGGGACTTCGGTGTATCGATTTTTCCGGATTATACATCATCAGTTTAAATCTGGTAAGATGGCATGCAGAAATTATAAAATAAAAAATATGAAACCGTAATTTATGAAATAAAGAACAATTATGATCTAAAGGGTATCAAAATTTACAAAAAAAAAAAAAGCTTAATATTTATTTGTTTACTTTACTTTCTTCGCTATCGGAAGCGAATTATAATGACGAGGAATTTGATTTAAATCATAAAGACAGAGTACATCCAAATGAAATACTACAATTAGTAAGGAATTATAAGCCGAATAAAATAAGAACATCTTCCTCTTAAGATGAGGATAGTGCTGACAGATCAACTTCCAATTCATTGCGCACCACGGCGTCCCCCTGCCGCAGAGCAGCGTGAAATTGATAAACAGATTTCGGAATGGTTAGATAAACAAAGGATATGCCTTTATCCATTTTTTTTGCAGCAATTCCACCTTTTGTTTAATGGACTTCGAAACATACTTTCGCTTTGTAGATCCTTTACATATTAGTAAATATATATCGGAAATTCTATTTGACATAATCGAAACTTCAAGCTTACTTTATAAAATTGGTCTAACAGTCTGCAAAAAATAATCAGCCGGATCCAATTCGATGATTAAGGTACAATGCAATCTGCAACATTAACTGAATTAGATCATTTTAGCTTAGCTTATACCGTCCGTTATACATTAAACACGCATGCGTAAACATATTTTGGGCATGCGCACACGCATATTTGTAGCCGTAAAGTTCTTACGTGCATGCGTCAACGAGACGCATGTGCAGAAAGTTTGTAGCTTTGATGTCCGGATTATAGATCATTCCAGATTATGGGTGTCCGAATTAACAACTTTTGACTGTATATAGTTCATATTTCTTCTGAGTTCCATATTACTAAAGAAATTAAATTATTCACTTTTTCTATACATTCTAAATGCATTTAGTGATTTTAGAAAAACAGAAATGAGAAATCCTTAATTAAATCCAAAAATTCTAAAATGAAAAAGAAACATGATGAAGAAAGAAACTGAATACATAAAGAAAATTATTCTTCAAAGATATGTGCAGTTATTATTATGTAAATTACGCAATTATTTATGATTTCAGCCTTTACTATAATTTTCCATTTCTGTTTCCTCATATGATAGAGTTAGTGAGCCAGATTAAATTAAAATTAAATTGTATAATTGTTTACCACTAGTCCACCTTTTTAGCTTGAATTGGACTATTCTTGTTTAATTACGTCACTGTTAGATATAATTGACTTTGTTAGCATCAGAACATGCCTTTATGTTTGTCCTAAGTTCTTTTCAAATAAGAGGCTTATTTAAACCTTTATCCGATATTATAGTTACTTTCAGACATAGTGATAATTTGCTTCAAGTCTCTCGGGGGTTTTGGACTATTTAACTTTTACCAGATCAAGTCAACCCTCATAGGTACATTGTGGAGAGGTTGACAAATTAGGAGATAAAGCACGCAGAAACTATTCAGAAGCATTTGGTTGCATGTATTGAGACAAATCTCTAATTATTGATTAGAAAAGATGCTTAAACAGAAGAAAATTCGGTATAAAACTAGTCCAAAATATTTGGGAAGGTTTCAAATTAAAATGATGGATAAATATTTTGTTGTGTTGTTGTTACAAAACATAAATGTTTTGTAGCTTTCAATGCGTAATTATTCTAATACCGTTTAAGAATCAGTGTCATAAATAACATGCACTTTCAAATGTGAAATTTTATTAGATTTTGATTTTAATAGGGCATTTTTAACAAATATTGTTAAAAAATAAAATTTAATAGTGGCCATGTAAATCCATAATGACTACTGTTACCTATTTACCTAATTTATTTATTTATAACTAACTGCTTACCCTTAAAAATTATCTCTACATATTAAAGTGAGTTATTGCCGATCATTAATACTCACTGTGGTCAGAAGATAAAGCACAAAAATGTAGAAATTCAAGTAAAGCTTATTCTTTGCATTTAGTGAGACTTAATACAAAACAACTTATCACCTCTGGTGCTTTAATGGCTTATTGGAACCTGAAAGTATATTAACTGGGTTACAACCCCTGGAACTCTAAACAAAGCTATGACACTAACTGCATCAGAGCCTGACTAACTTTCAACACTTGCCAACCATACCTACATCATGCCTTTCAGGTTTGTTCAAATCAGCAGGTCTCTCTGTAGACAAGTATCAGCGGTAATAACATTCAGTCTTTTGTTATGAATGATGCTGATATGATACTTCTCATTTTAACTATGCTATTTGACATAAAATCTACCTGCTATTTACTAAACCTCTAGACAAGCGGTCCTCAACCTTTTGGAGACTAACGTGTACCATCTGAATAAAAATTGAAAACCTGTAGTACCACCAAAGTACTACTACCACCACCACTTTTGAACGAAGCTCAGATAGAATAAATTTATGAGTGTTAGAAAAAAAACTCAATCAGGATGTTCGGGGTTTTAATTTTTGAAATAAATAGTTAAAAATACTTTACTTCTTTGTGTACCACCTATTTTTTCTTGCGTACCACCGGTGGAGAACCTCTGCTCTAGACTGACCAAGTATGTGACAAAATGAGACATAAAAAATCATCATAGAGCTAACTATTAGTAAAACGTAAATGTCACTTATTTTCTTTCAAATATGTCCAACCTATTATAAGTGTAAAATATTTAATGCTACTTGATAAACTGCATGAAGTTTATTTTATTCTCAAATTAATAATTATGTTAATTAATTTATGTTTGGTAATAATGCATACTACATAGGGATCTTTTTTATTTTTAGGATGGTATTAGAAAAGTGAAATTCAAGCATAGAATAATATTTTTAATTGAATTTAATCAGTTCCCATATGCTCATAGGTCCTTAATTTTTTTTCATGAATGGTCCTTAAAAGTACTTAATTTCCGTGTGCAGAAATGTGTACGAACCCTGGTATCCCAAATATGGTCCATGTAATTTAAATCTGGGAGATATGCAGGACCGTCTGTCCACTGGGTTCTTAAGCCCCTCAGATAATTGCAATAACAAGTGTTATCATTTATTTGGGGGAAATTACTACTGATTGCACCTTTAAACAGCTTGAAATAAGGGTAAAATACCTGATCTCTGTATGTTTCAGCTTTCATAATTACAGTAGTAAAAATGTGTTGGTCAGCACAACCATTTAAAATGCTGCCTAATCATACTATGATTGCTCCTTTCACGGACACTGTCAGGCTTATTTTATGTATTTTGCACCCTTCGGATTGTAACAGACTCGGAAACATTCTACGAACCAAAATGACTGATCAGTAAAATGTACTTTAAGCCAGTCCATGGTATTCAGTAATCTGCACAAATACACCTGGACACATTTTACGTCAGGAATTTCTTTGCATACAGCCCTCCTTTATGCAGCCATTCACTTACTGTGCATATACACTCTTCTTTTGCAAAAAAAAAAAAAAAAAAAAAAAAAAAAAAAAAAAAAAAGCGCCAAGAAAGACTTTTACGAATGTGAGAAAATTTAGTATGCAAAAACATCTTGATCGAACATGCAAATGATCAAAGTTTCAAGGCAAATGAACAGGAACTGCGATCATAGCGCACAATTCACAAAGTATAAAACTAGTAACAGAGGCGGAAATGTTATCTTTTTTTGTTGCTGCCATTGTAATTCTGTAAAGAAGCAGCTAAAGGTGACATTACGACGATATAGAAGACCTTACAGACAACTAAACGACTTCAAATGTTGTCGCATTGTAGGGTTGTGTGAAGCTGGGTGGTCATACTGAAAAATAGGCTGCCACCTGTAGCATATGGACACTCCTGTGCAAAGATTTCAGCAGCAATGGTTGCTACAAGGAAATTGCCATCAAAATGAAAGGCTCTGGAAAGCCAAGGATCACAAATGCGAGGCAAGATAGGATGATTGTTTGCCAGGCCCGAGCCGCTCCAACCGTATCAGTGCACTACAGCCACATCTATACCTCCCGTGGTACCGTCTACCATCTCATGAGGCTTGTCTGAGGCGGGGTTACGCTCACAGAGGCCTTTAAGACGTTAGCCTTTGACCCCCACAACATTGGCGGAGTCGTCTGGAGTGGTGTCGCAGCCGATCATCATGGCTGCTATCGGACTGGCATTGTGTAGTGTTTAGCGATGAATCCCGCTTCACTCTTGAAGCAGATGACCACCGTTTTGTGTCTGAAGAGGATGGAGCCAGCGGTCCCAATCAGCCTGTGTTTTACAAAGGCATACATCCATAACCCCTGGTGTGTAGGTGTGAGGTGCTATTTCTTATGATAGCAGGTCATCTTTAGTCATCCTCTGTACATCTTTAACAGCTCAACGATATGTTGATAACATTCTGCAGCCGGTTGCATTGCCCTTTATGGCACGTCATACTGGGGCCATTTTCCAACAAGATAATGCCAGGCCACATACCGCTCGCATATCTCTGGACTGTCTCCGTGAAGTTGATACTCTTTCTTGGCCAGCAAGGTCACCATACCTTTCACCAGTTGAGCATGTCTGGGGCATGGTAAGCTGCAAGATTCAGGCACCACAAAATATCACAGATCTGGAGTGACAACTGATGAATGCCTCGCAAAATGTGTCTCAGGATGACATTAGGAACCTCTACCACTCCTTGCCTCAACGAATTCAAGCATGCATTGCGGCCAGGATTGGTTCGACCAACTACTAATTTTAACACTCATTGGGTGATTGTGAGCTGTGAACAGGTACTACGAGCTTAATTTTTTAATCATTTTATTATCTGTGTATGAGCTATACGTAACCACTTCCTTCATGGTGCTTCAATTTTTTTGTAAAGGTATGTAGATGGTTAGATACCTGGAACTGCAGGAAAATCCTTTATAATTTGGACTGGCATTAGTTGCCTATTTCTTTTAACAGTTATTGCCAAATAATGATTCGGAGAATCTTGTGGCATGCTTTCTAGACCTGGCTGTATGCATACATCACCAGTGTCTTTAAGCACATTTTCACATTGTTGACTTGATACTTTTGGCTCCTTGTCAGTGTCTATAATGCCTGCATTCTCATGATACATGAAAAGCCTTAACGATCTGATCCACTTTCCATATATAAAAATTTTATCTTGCTTCTCACAGAATCCTTAAAATTGAATTTTGAAGTCCTGCCTTGCACTCCTTTCTGCATATGCCAAAAGAAAAGCATAAAAATATGCATATTCCATTGTAGGAAAGGTGAATCCAATTAAACTATGTGTTGACACTGTCCTTGAATTACTAAGCACCTTTCATTGCACTTCAATGAATATAATTAATGCAAAGTATCTTTTTATAACTGTCTTAATTTTTCCTTCCGCTGTATAAAAAAGTGAAGATAGGAAGCAATAAAACTATTTCATTTGTCACTGTGAATAATTGAAAAAAATCCATATAGGACATAATCGAGAGAATCTATGAACATGACATCTCTGTGAAATTTCTGTCCTGATCTACTATAAGTGGTATCATGAGATCAAAATACTAAGTGAAAGCACCGTATTCAATATTAACTAAACCCATACAGCTCACATATCAAAGCCGAGAACTTTCTGGTTGGTTGGACTAAACAGCAGTGCTAAATGAATTCATCCTACTGTTGTTGTGGATGGATCTATTTAATATCTTAGTAGATAACTAAATACGTTTGTGATCAAATTCTCGAGATCAAAGTGTCCCTTACTAGCTGTGCTAATGCCTGCTTATTTTATGGTAGTGAAAATACGTCACTTGACATACGACTATTGCCACATGACTGTATCTGTGTTTGTTACCTTGCTGTAATGTGACCCATCGAAGGGTAGTTAGTGTTAACGAATAAAAGTACTTTAAACTGGAACATGTTAGTGAGGGCACTTCATAATATTTGCAATTTGCTGCGCTGACTGTGTGTACAGACAAACAGCTGCACATAAATGTTTCCTAAGCTTTTGTTACTTTATATCTTTGAATTCATCGGGCAGTAAAATAAATATTTCCATTACATTAGATTTCAGTCATTTGAATGTGTAGGAAGTCTATGTTTGAGTTTGTTTCAATTTGCTGTTTCGTCCACATAAGCTTTTCGCCTCAGATTTTGCTTCAGATAAAATTTACTCTATATTTAAAACCTTTAGTCTGAAAAATTGCTGTATGTTTAAAGATAATTTTGTCAGATTTTATGCGGATATAGTTTGTAAATGACTTGACTGCATTAGTGTCTATTATTTAATGTTTCTGTGTATAATTTATAACTTAGAATTGGAATAAACAGCTAGTAAATTTTTATTTTTTGCAACATTAGAGATAAATTCTCATCATTACTGTTGAAAGTATTCAATTTTACTAACTATTAATTTTCATTTCTATTAGGAATTGCAGAGAAAGGAAGAAGAGATACGGCAGATGTTTGTTGAAAGGGTAAAAGAAAAAGAAACAGAACTGAAAGATGCAGAAAAAGAGGTTAGTTGTAGATTCTTATATTTGATAATTAAATACATATACAATCAAAAGTCTTTAATCCGGACTCGTCGGGACTTCGGCGATTCCGGATTATCGGTTTTGCTGGATTATAGATCATCAGTTAAAATCTGGTAAGATGGCATGCAGAAATTATAAAATTAAAAATATGAAACCGTAATTTATGAAATAAAGAGCAATTATGATGTAAAGGGTAATAAAATTTACAAAAAATAATATTTATTTGTGTACTTTATTAAACATTTCTTTCAATGCGCACATGCGTAAAGCATACATTACACATAGTCGAAATTAGAAAATTGCAACCAGAAAACTATTTGATGTTTATTCGTGATATTTATAAAGACGGGGAATTTGGTTTAAATCATATCAAAGACGGAGTACATCAAGATGAAATACTACATTTAGTAAGGAATTATAAGCCGAATTATAAACACATCTGCCTTGAAGATAAGGATAGTGCTGAAAAATCAACTTCCAATTCATTGCGGGCCACAACGTTTCCCCCCTCCGCAGAGCAGCATGAAATTGATAAACAGATTTTGGAATGGGTAGAGAAACAAAGGATATGCCTTTAATTCATTTTTTGCAGCAATTCCACTTTTTTTTTTTTTTTTTTTTGATGGACATCGAAACATGCTTTCGCTTTGTAGATCCCTTGGCAGCTCCAGAATCGGAGAATTGAAGGAAATCGAAAGTTCAAGCCTACTTTTATAAAAGTGCTCTAACAGTCTGCAAAAAATAATAAGCCGGGTCCAATTCGAAGATTAAAGAACAAACAATCTGCAACATTAACTGAAATAGATAATTAGATAATTTTAGCTTAGCTTATACTGTCCGTTATATATTTAAATTTTGGAGGGCTGATTTACATGCTTTTATATCTTTATTTGTTACAATTTATTAAAAACATTAATTAATTTATATTTAAAAATTAATATAAAAGTTTTATGAATCGTCAGCTGTATGTTTTGTCCGTTATACATTAAATGCGCGCGCATGCGCACAAAGTTTTTGTAGCTTTGTGGTTCGGATTATGGATGTCTGGATTAAAGACTTTTGACTGTATCTGTTTTCAGTAAGGCTTATTGTGACTGTTACTGCAGTGGGCTGCATGTCAAATAGTTTACGTTTTCAAAGATTCATTAAATAAGAAATAATTTTATGTCAAATGATACCATATTTATTCAAATTAAAAACCACTGTTACATTTTAGAATAATTTAAGAAATAAAAATATAAGTGGATGTTTGTATTGCAGTAATTCTGAGAAAAGAATCCTAATTTTCTCCCTCCCTCCTTTCTGAAAAATTTCCTTAAAATAGAGCTTTGTTAGCTGTGGTCCAAGGCCGTTGCTACTGATACATTATTTCCTTCTTGTTGTAGGCCATATCAGTGACTTCTTTATTATATGCTAGTCTAAATTGGAATTGCTGAGCTAGATGCACTATTATAACTAGCTTGTTTGTTGTTGAAGTTTGAATATTTGCTCTGTATAGATGAGCACAGATGAAATAACAAAGCCAATGGTTGTGCTGACATTACAATTGTCAAATGAAGTGACATACTTCCCATGTCACTTTCAAAGAGGCAGAAAATCTTCATGGACTAGCTGAAAATAAAAATACTTCATAACCAAGACTGTAATGTTTCTGAATAAAGCAAGTATCTAACAATTAATGTTTGAACGGTAATGTTTGACGGAAATGTTTTGAATAAAGGAACTAATTAATTGCTAACATTTCAGAAGTGGGATTAACTAGAATTATTATGTAGGATTTAACAACGTATTGCCTTAATGTACATTAAGCCTAAACTGAATGTGGAAGCTCACCAAAACTGAAAGTAGAAAGGTACGTGAATTTATAAACTGTTTATGTTGTTATGTCCAAGTATTAAACGGAAAGAACTTAAGTATAATTATTGTATTATTATTTGAAAATTGAAGTCTAAGATGGCTTATTTGGCAAGAGGCAAGAAATGTGACTTAAAAGAACTTGCTTTGGAACTTGATGTAGATGTCCCTTCTGATATTAAAATTGCAGGCTTAAGGATATGATTTTGAATAGTAAGAACTATAACGAAGACTTTACTAAACAAATGCTAGATAGAATTATAAATGATCGTTTAGACAGGGAAAAGTTAGACATTTTAGAAAAAGAAAAACAAAGAATACTTGAAATGGAAATTTTAGAAAAAGATAAGCAAAGAGCATTTGAAATGGAAATTATAGAAAGAGATAAGCAAAGAACTTTTGAACTTGAAAAATTTAAAATAGAAGCGGAAATCAGAAGTAGTAATGTAAATGATTCTGTTCCTTCTAATGTTAGTAAAAGTAATATTTGTGATATGAGTAAATTAATGCTTAAGTATGATTTGAATGAAAGTGATATAAGTTTTTATTTAGTTTTATTTGAGAGACAGGCATAAGGTATTGGGTTAGAAGAACGAAAGTGGGTTTCTCAGCTGTTGGGTCTATTGCCTTATGAAATAACTTAATTAATTGCCCGTGAATCAGGAGAAAAAGCTAACGACTATAAGCACGTTAAACAACTGCTACTGAGAAAATTTAAGTTAAGCCCTGAACAGTTTCGGCAAAAGTTCGTTGATAATATTAAAACGTTGCGAAATACGTAGAAGGACTACATGTTTGAATTAAAAAATTATTTTGAAGAGTGGCTTGCTGGATTTAAATGTAACAGATTTTGACTCTTTAAAACAACTTATTATTACGGATCAATTAAAGAAAAGGATCCCCGCTGCTATTCAAGACCATTTCATTGATGATTGGTCTAAATTCATTAATCCTGAAGAGTTGGCTGAAAAACTAAAAGATCATGAAAATATTTGGGAAGGGATAAAAGTACTTCAAGTAGAAAATAAAACTTTTAGGCATAATTCTAAGCCTAAATTTGGTTCTAAATTTTATGAAGGATCCTGTAATCAGTATTCAAGACACAGAAATGTTAATGATTCTATACAGACAGATGGTAATTTCAAAGTGGCTCTTAAAAACAGTTTTGATAGTAAATACAATCTGAGAGATAAATTTTATAAAATATACGAAAGAGGGAATATAATTCTGGCATCCGAAATGAAAAGGGCAATGAAAACGGTGAGCCAAAATACTGCTTCAATTGTAATGATTATTGAGATATAGTGACGGATTGTCCTCAACCTAAAAAAGAAATTATTTTCATGAAATGTAATGAAATGGGTCAGGGTCCTACTTTAAAAAAGTGCACGTCTAAGAGTTCAGACTTGACAAATGTTAAAAATAATTTATCCGTGGACCAGAATTCAGGTGTTTCACCACCTGTATATATAAAGTATGCTCGCATCAATAATGGAGAAGAAATTACTGCAATCATACAATAGTTCGTGCAGGTTCCAGTTCGTGTTTATTGAAACAGTCTGCGGCTAAGAAACTGAATCTTATAAAACCTGATGAGGAGGAATTGTTTGGCTTTGGGAATGAGAGTAAACCAGCCACTAGAACATTGGGAAAAGTAACTGTTAACTTAGAGATTGATAATGTGGAAGGAAAGGACGTTACAGTTCTAATTGTAGGAGATGAAACGCAACCATGCAACTTATTAGTTGGTCGAACATGGATTGATTTACCACATATTGCATACGCCAAGATAGGTAATACTCTGCACATACGCAATGCTAATGATTGCAAATTTTCACAGTTGCAAAATGATGGTAACACTCCGCGAATTAAACTGAAGGCTTCCCAAGAACTCAAATCGAAAGTAATATGGTTAATTTTGTGAAAGTTAAAACTGATGAAATAAGTAACGGTTATGTTTTAATAAGTGGATCGGAAGATGTGTTGGGCTCGTTATTGGAAGTAATACAGAAAGTTGAATTCACAAACTGTTAAATTTCTACTTCTTAGGATAGATGATCTTCTGGAATGTCTTAGTGAGTGTAAAGTTTTCACTACATTGGACTTTGCTCATGGATATTTACAGATTCCTTTAACTGAAGAACGAAACTGAAAACAGCTTTCATCACTCCAGATGATACTGGTCAATTTGAACATATGATCTTTGGTTTAGCTAATGCTCCTGCAGAATTTCAGAGACTTATGAATCAAGTTTTAGGTCCATTGCTTAATAAAGAAGTATTGTGCTATTTGGACGACATATTAATTCCATCTAAATCTTGGGAAGAAATGATGGTAAAACTTAGAAAAGTGTTTGATAGATTGAGGGAAGCAATGCTGACATTGAAACTGACAAAATGCGAATTTGGAAAAGATGGAGTATTTGGGATTTCTAATAAAATCAAATGATATGCAACCTGGACCAAGAAAAGTACGAGCCATATTAAACTTTCCTAAACCAACCAATGAACATGAAGTTAAACAATTTTTAGGTCTTGCAAGTTTCTTTAGAAGGTTTGTACCGAAATATGCAGAAAAAGCTGAGCTGCTGACAAGAAAGGAGGAATCATTTCGTTGGAATGAAGATCAGTAAGAAGCATTCAGTACTTTAAAAGATCATTTAACTAATGAACCAATACTAGCGTTATATAATCCGGAAGCAGAGACTGAAGTGCACACAGACTCGAGCAGCAAAGGGCTTGCAGGAATACTGTTGCAAAAAGGTGAAGATAGAAAGTAGCATTTAGTTTATTGTGTAAGTAAAGGAACAACAGAAACAGAAAAGAATTATCATTCAAGCAAATTAGAATTAATGGCTATAGTTTGAACTTTGAGACAACTCTGACAATTTTTAATTGGAATCCGATTTACAGTAATTACAGACTGCCAAGCTTTAGTTTATTTAAATGCAAAGAAAACTTCAAATCCTCACAAAGCAAGGTGGAGTAATCTAATCCAGGAATACAATCTTGAAATAAAGCACAGACAAGGTAAAAAAGAATGAGTCACATAGATGCATTGAGCCGATCGTCAGTTGATCAGCAAGAAACTTTAGACTCTATAATTGAAAACAACTTGGAAGTTTGTAT